TTATACCCTCTTTTTTTATGACGACCACAGTGAACTTGTAAGGACTATGATTTGGGGGGTGCACTTGGAATTTTTAAGCCTTTAATGGAAAGGGTGCCTCTGCCCGGCTGGTTGATGTCCTCAGTATGGCTAAGGCTGACATCACCGCCATCCAATAAATACCCTGGCTGGGCAAGGTGACTAGTACAGCTGACACGTAAAGGAGCGCAAATTCAGTATCGGATTTGTGGTGGGAGAGAGACTTCGTTACGGAATATTATCCTTCACCCCGGTAAACGAATTTTTCGCCGCAAGCAGCATCAGATCTAGGGCGAGAGGGGCTAGCTACTGGATTAGAGATTGACTTGTCCAAAACTATAGAAAAATTTGCTCAAGTCAAAGCACACAAAGTAAACTTATTGTAATTGATATCTGAAAATTTTGATTATATTTAGTAAAAATTGGAATTTTATATTTCGACTATTTCTGCGATTGATTATAATTAATAATTATTGTATAAGAAAAATAAACCGAGGTGATAAACATAATTATCAAAGGGCGCTTCGCTCCATTTATGCGCCGGGCGTCATTGCTACTAAAGCCGGCCCTGATCAGAGCGAGACTCTTTTAACATCTCGCTCATCGGCGCCCACGTCCCGATTGAAGTGCTTGGCAATTTCAATGCAAAATTCAACCTCCACGATGAAACGCCATGGACTGAGGCGATCGACTTCGCTGGGGTCCAAAACATAGTAGTATGCACTACTAGTCTCCAGCATAAGAATATTCATAAATCTACATGGATGACTCCCCGAACGAGTGTTAACAAACAGGCAGCTTCTGCTAAAGATTTACGGGCCTTTGCTCGTTACCACAGATGATAAAACGACACAATATATGAGCTCTAGAATAATATATGTAGACATAATCAAGCCTCGCTGGCTTGGTCGCGTCACTCGAATGGACACAAACGCTCCAGGACGGAAAGTATTCAACGGTGAACCAGCTGATGGTAGCAGCGGAAGAGGAATGCCTGCTCTGTGATGGAAGGACCGGGTAGTTATTGTTGAGTTTTTCCCCATATTATTACAGATTATGATTATAAAGTGTTTTTCCAAGTGCTTTCTAATTCTATTTTCTTTTACACCGACTTGACTAAATCAGCGCTCGAAGTCAATATTCTTCAAAGTCAACATTCTTCAAAGTACACACACCATTTCTGTATACACTTGCATATGTATGTATGTAAGTATGTATTTGTAACTACGATTGCAGAACACATATGCAAATGCAGTTAAATGCAATGACGATCAATCTTCCCCTTACTGAAACTATGCTGTAGTAATTCATTGTGAGCTCATACATATTTTCATGCATGTAGGTACTATACTTATGTAAGTTTGTGTATGAATTTGTTTGGCGCTCAGATCTGAAAACACACAGGAAAAAAATGGCTGGGTATAACTATTTGTCCACTTGCAACACAAACTCACTTTTATTAGTGTTTATGTTTTTGTATTATCTATTAGTGAAAATATGTATGTATGTACATATGTATGCTTGTGGTATATGTATTCGTATTATACTCATAAAATAACATGTTTGCTTTCCATTCATTTCTGAGTAAATTTGAGTTGTTTGTTTGTCGCTGGTAGTTGTGCATGCCTGTTCATTTCTCTTATTTATGTGTCGCTCTTCGCTTTCAATTTAAATCAATTTAACTTATTTTCTTCATTTGCGTTCAACGTTCTATGTCGCGATAGTTTTTTTTCTCTTTTATATGTTTTATTTGTAGAAAATTTTTGACTTCTAACGTGCGTATCATAACTATATGACATCCATATATGTATCATCAAGCTCTGACTATTTATTTTTTATTATTTCATTTTAATTATAATTTTTTATTAAAATATAGTTCGTTCTATAACACAAGGTATATCTGTAAGTCAAAGTTTGAAGTTTAAAATTAAAAAAATCAGCAAAGTTTCTTTAAAATTCCAATTTTAATAAAAATTTCTAGAAAAATGTTTGGTATGCAGCTTCACAGTTCATTAAGTTTGTAGTGGCTAAAAACTTCCATTGTTTTTTTATTTTTTTTTCGCTAACAATGTTGTGCATTTTTGTCCGTATAAAAAATATATAAAATTAGTAATGGGCTTAGCTAGAAATTCTAATTAAAAAGGTTGAAATTTAAAAAAAAAAACTTTGTTGATTTTTTTTATAAGGTTAAATTTTAGACTTACATAATTCCCATTAACTAAATATAAATATTTCAATAAAAGACAAATAATTTAAATTAAATAATTAAAAAATGATACGTGGGTGTCGTAGAGCTATGATACATCCTATATCTTATATTTTGCTTTGGAAAAATGCTTTACAAATATTATTTTAGCATACAATAAGAGACACGAAAGACATAAAAAGAAATTTTTTAGATTCAATTGGCTAGGCTTGCATTTGGAGATAGTGGCACTTTAAACTCGTATGTAAATATTTTCTTGCTATACCTACTATGTATACGTATGTACATTGTTTTTCTTTCAACATGTACATATTTACATATTTTTTAGAGATAAAATATGTTGCGTTAAGTGATGACCACAAAAACTTTGAATTTATAACCACAGTTCCTTTATCAGTTTGTGATTTATAGTTGTTATGAATTGCCTGCGCTGTATTAAAAAAAAAAACTAATCAAAAATAGCAAATATTTTACATATATTTTTAATTTTTCGATCACATTTAATTCATATTTTAAATTTTTGTTCCTTAATTTTATTATTATTTTTCTTTCAATCAAAAATAATCATTTTTCTTGCATTTTTAATTGCTTGATCACATTTTATTGATATTATCAGATTTCATTTGACGTACGTTTAATAACAAAGAGAAGTAATTAAAAATTTTAGTTTTTGGAGTTTTCATCAAAGAATTAATAAGTCTGATACAGAGGACACTCCTTTGTTTAATGAACAAAGTTTTCTCACTTTTCCGAAAACTACCGTTACATGGTAATCAGGTGTGGTTTTACCCCTATTTAAAACATCTTCGATGGTAGAATAAAGTTATATAGTTATAAGCGGGCAGTACCATGCCCTTTTTCCGTCCTTGAACGGTTTTTAGAAGGCTAACTCGGGATCATCCAGGAATGGCAGATTCTACTATTTTGGTTCTTAACATAACGCGTTGCGGGAATTGTGCCCCGCCAATGAAGAAGATTGTCTTCCTACGACAGTCTGGTCTACATAACCGGAACGACCCAGATTTATATCCGGCCAAGGACTGTTACTCCAGCAAAAGCTCTTTGGAGAATTTGTATGCTGCCACAACAACAAAATTGTCTTCAAAATGCAGCCACCGAAAATTTTTTTATTTTGGTATAATAATTTAACACTTTTAATGCGCAAAATTGTGACTAAAAAATAAAAGCTTTGACGAAAGAGGCATTTAACAAATGTCTAATGGCAGATGTTTACTTTCAGAAGTGCGCTTTCGCGCTGTCTTTTATGCAAGAGTACTAGTTCCTTTGAACGCTTTAAAAATGGAAATTAAGATTCTTAAATTTTTTTATTTTTTACGGAGGACGTTGGGGTGAGTACTATGAGTACTACCACTCCGCAGGACATAGGTTCGATCCCTGGTCCAGACACAACTAAATTAGAAAAGGTTGTTTCTAACAGACGTTACCACCCCTCGGCAGGCAATGACAAATCTCCGAGTGTATGATAAAAGCTTTTCATAAAACCACTTGCCGCTCAGAGGCAGCGTAAAATTGTAGGTTCCTCCATTTGTGTTATAACATTAAGATGCACATCATCAATTATTTTTATTTCTATTGTTATTTTTTTTTTTTAAGGAAAGGTGATACTTCGAAGTTGGTTTAACTCCGATCATTGGATCATGAAGAAATTCACGGTATTCTTAAATTTTTATATGAGAATTGAAGTCAGTTTTGTTTCTTGTTTAAACTTGTTTATTTTTTATGTATCACATTTTCTTTCTAGTCCCCGTTATTTTCTAAAAAATGTGTGGACCACTTTTAGTGTTGACATAATTTTTCTAACAAGCACCTCACACCAATTTTAGTCACATTAGTTGAAATCCTTGCAATATTAGTCAATGCGAAAAAGCATTAAAGGTATTAGGGAAACAACTAGTAGTATGTTTGTATACTGTGGCGGTCAAAAATGGATGAATGGTGTTTCGTTTTTAATATTTACAATGTTTTTAAGCTAAAATTTGTTGGATATTTTTTTATAAAATATATATGCTTTAACAAAAACCATATAAATCACACAGCTTTGTACAGAATTTAGAAAAATTTCACAAATTTTTGTATAAATCGAAATTTTTAACCAGATTCTTTTTTTTATTTTTTGGGTATGCAGTTAACCGGATTATAAAATTTTAGTAAAATTAGTGCAAGTTTTGAGCGGCTAAAAAATCGCATTGATTTTTAATAATTTTTTGTTAACTTCTTTTTCGTTTTTTTTTTTCATATAAAAAGCGAAATTTAGGGAAACTGGCATTGACTTTTTTTATTTTTTTCGCAAAAGGTCTTGCGCATATTCTTCCACAAAAAAATTCATGTTTATATGGAAAAAAGTGAAAAACGCCGTCAACAAAAAAAGAAATATTACAAAATCAATGCTATTTTTTAGCCGCTTAAAATTTGCACTAATTTTACTAAAACTTTATAATCCTGCTAACTGCAGACCCAAAAAAATTTTTAAAAACTCTAATTAAAAAGCTCGAAATTTAGATAAAAATTTGTGGATTATTTCTAAATTCTGTATAAAGTTTGCAAGTGTGAATTATATGGGTTTTGTTAAAGCATGAACCATATTTTTATAAAAAGATATCAAAAAAAATTGTAGCTTGAAAAACATTGTAAATATTAAATACGAAACACCATTCATCCACTTTTGACCGCCGCTGTATTTTTAGAAATAAAAGAACTTTTTTTTTTAATATTAGCACAAATTTATTTCACTTCCATAAATATGTATGTAGCTCACCTATTTCTTAAACAATATTTTCCGTAGCTCTTGAGATTTTTGTTAGTTTTTTAGTTCCAAAAAGTAGCATCATTATCACGAAATCCAGCATTAAATTATTATAAAATTTGGTGCGTCCATGAAATATGCATAAAAATATATACTTTTAAACACGTTATTATAAGTGCATATGTATGTATGTGTATGCAGGTAGAAGTTTCAAACCACCATGTATTTTTTTACAAATTTTTGCTTTTTTCACAAACAAAAACTCGAGCAACTATAATAAATCTTTTAAAATTTTCTACTTTTGCATGTAGTATTTCTCTTTTTTCTTCCTCGGAAATTCTTATCACAAAAACACATCCACAGATTTCGCTTTTATTTCACTTTCGCGACGGTGCATTCATCAACGCGCATAGAACGCGGTCTAATCAACCCGGTAAGTACCGTTTCAAACGTAACATTAAATGAAAGCACGATCATCTCATCACAATCACCCCAGGCAAGCAGAACAATCACGTATGTATGTATGTATGTATAAGTGGCGAGAATTTCTACCGTGCAGCGGAACATGCCGAGCACACCGCTTGAATAGCTGAATGATCGCCGACCAAGCCGATAGCGACTCAGTAGAAGTAGCAGCAAAACGAGTGATAAGCGACAAGTTTATATGTAACTGTTAAAACAGCTGTCCACTGGAAAATTGGGGAAAATCGCATTTACGATTCTAGTTGTTGCTGCACTCTGTTGCTGTTGACATTAACATCGCAATTAACAGTCTGCTAGCTAACTGCGCTGTTAATGTTAGCGCTGATAACATAACAGCAGAGTCTGCGGCAACTGGAATAAATATGTATGTATGTATGTACATAAGTACAAATGTACATACATATATACATACATACATATGTGAATATATTGTGTATATAACTAGTGGGTGATAAGTGGCGATAATGGAAATGTTTGCCAAGTGATCATCATACATACCCTTGTGGTCAGCTGATTAAGTTAAGTGACATTTTTACCAGTTTTGGCTATTTTTCTTTTGTTTTTAAATTTTTATGGTTTTTTTTTAGGTGTAAAAGACTAGCACATTACATACTTACCAAACACATAAATCCGCATTTAAAATTTCATAAAAAATTATGAAACTTCCATAAATCTTAACAATTACATACAAGTTTCCCTTCTTGAATAACACTTCCTTCTTTAAAGTCGCTATAACTGGATTTAAACCTATTCCGAAATCGAAATATAGAACCAAATCCTTATCAAGGGCTAAGCGCCTTCGAAATCGATCCTATTCTCGCGAGTCTATGGTAGATTTCCTAGGTATAAAGCCACAATGATAAGACCCAATCAGTTAGTTGACGGTGGGCTTCAGAGAAACATCAATCCCCCCCTTGGGCAAAGGTGAAGGCGAATATGTAGATGAAGGAAATGATAAACATAAAAGTGAAAACAAAGATAAATACAAAGAAAAAGATGAGGATGTGTAAAGATGAAAATAGAGGAAGAAAGATTAAAATAGAGGTAATTATAGAGACAGGGATATACATAGATAGAGGCACAGAGACTTAATCTGGGAACTATTTAGAGATTTTCGGGATTCTCGGGACTTATCGATATAGTAATCGATATTTTTACCGGTTTTGTTTTCGATATTGTTATCGATATTTTTTATCAATTTCCTAATAGATTTTTATTATCCATTATTAATTAATTTTGTTATCGATATTTTTATCGATTTTGTTATCGATATTTTTATCGAATTTCTAATCGATTTTGCAACAAATATTATTATTGAGATTTTGTAGATTTTGTCATCGGTTATTTATCGATTTTCTTATCCATTATTTAGCGATTTTGTTATCGATTATTTAACATTTATTTATCGATATTTTTATCGAGTTCGTATATCGATATTTTTATCGATGTTTGTTATGGATTTTGTTATCGATATTTTTACCAATTTTGTTATTGATATTTTTATCGATTTTGTTATCGATATTTTTATCTATTTTCTTATCGATTTTGCTACCAATATTATTATCAATTTTGCTATCAAAATTTGCTATCGATATTTGCAACGGTTTTGCTATCGGTATTTTTTTGGATATTACTATCGAATACAAAAAACATAAATGTAATTAGAACGAACAGGGTGGAGGTAGGGATCTAGATAGAAAAAAGACAAAAATTATAACCTTGAGCAAAAGCAGATGTATGTATTATGTATGTACATTCTATGTATGTATTATGTATATTGGTCACGAAACAAAATAGATATGTATCTAAGTTTCACTTCCCCAGTGTGACCCAGCGCACTTACTTTTTTTCTTTGTCGGAGGTTGCTGCGGAACTTTTTATACCGAATTCGAAACTGAATTTTAGTTGGTTTTTCTCACTCCTCATCCTTTGCTCGTAGGTATACATATGCCTAATGTACATAGTATGTACTACATATGTACTATGTTAATGATTAGTTCACGTTCTGAAAAGCATAATAAACATTTCGCACCATGATTGATGTTGAAAGATGAACGAAATTCAATTGGCATCCTAGTAAGTATAAAGTACTTACTAATGAAGATCAGTTTCGAACTGATCAATGAGTATGTATGTGCATATGTACTATGTATGCATTTGTATACGCGACATACATATGTATGTCGAGTGGTTAGTACCAATTCAGTACAGATTTTTGTACTGAAAAAAACAATTTTTGTACTGAAAATCTGTAGTAAACTGCTGATTCTGAGTTAACTACGCACTCTGAATTTGGCCCTTAACGAAGTATCTAAATGAAATAAAAATCGCCTATTTTTTATTTATAGTATATGTTTTTAATTTTGTCAAAATTTTTCAAAATTTAGGATTTCCGCCAAACAAACTGTTATTACGTCCAATTTTTTTTTGTTTTACGTTACTTAGTAAAAATTATACACTACATGAAAACTAGGTTCATTTTTTATAGTACCTACTAAAAAATTTATTGCCTTAATTTTTTCAAAATTGGCAATATTTACCATAAACATAGCTCTTTTTCTGTTCCGGCAGGAAAATCTAAAACTTCTTCACAGATTCTATTAAACTTCAAATAACGTACCAAACTAGTAAATCAAAAATTTGGTACTCTTAAATTTTTTTTACTTCACTCTACCAAACTTTGGCAATTTTTGGAATTCCCTACAAAGATATCTCAAAAGTTTTCGATTGCACGAACCACTTTTGCATAAAAAACATTTACTAAAAATTATTTCTGTTGTTTGTACGTATGTATGTATATAGTAAACAAAACTATCCAAGTTTCGTTGAAATACACTAAAAACTGAACTTTTGACATTTTTTTGTCACACAGTAAAAGTCGTCTTTCCGTTCAACAGTTGTACTTCAGAAATTTTCTGCATTTAGCGCCCTCTGCTGTTAGTAAAAAGGGCGATATGATAAATGAAACTTCCAAATCTATTAAAGGTTCTATGTTAGCTTTACAAACTAGTTTTTTACTTAAATATTCTAACCACTTTATTTAATTTAAATTTTGTCTGGGATGGGAACAAGCACTGTGGAGCGGCTGCTTCCCGGCAGGCAACGGCAAAACCCCTGGTTGTGCCGCTACAATGTATGCGACTATCTCGCTCTACAATTTGAAGGAGAAGCTTGGCCTATCACTTATGTAAGTACATACATCAATTTCACAGAAATCACCTGCTTCATATTGCACTTTTAATTATCATCGGCATGTTAAGTGCTCTTAAAAATATCTATGTCATGTATTTACTTATGTATGTACATTGGGGTGGCCCAAAAATGCTTGTGAAATGGTAAATTCGGAATTTGTATGCTCTCACCTCCTAGGATTCTTCATACCGAAAAAAATATACCCCTATTTTTCATTTTGAAATCAAAAAATATTTAGAGGTCGCTCAAAGTTTTTGGTGTATTTTATATAGTAAAGAAGCGAGAAAGCTCGGCGAGATAACCGCTTACTTTCGAGCAGACGCCATTATCGAGCAATCGTCAGCATAAGAGACAATAGTGACTCCTTCTGGTGGTTGAGGCAGCTTTGAAATGTAATAATTAATTTAAGCGTCCCTAATGGTGGCTGTTTGCCGTGGAGGCGGCCCGATTCGCACAGCATGGGCCACGAACGACGTGGTCCATTGCCGGTGCGTACGTAGGCCCGAGCAGGTGCGGAGATGAATCCACCCATCACAGGCGTTGCACCTGACTGAGATGGAGTTTGCATGCATTCGTCTCTGGCATACGCAGCAGGTGTAAATTTCTGGCCCTGGGTTTGACTGCTTGCCAGTCCTTAGCAGAAGCATACGGAGCAGGTGTAGCCCCATTGTCGAACAACGTTTGATGAATGAACAACAGCCCTTGGTCGGGTAAAACCCCCGAGTCAATCCGGTACGTAGAGCCGGCTGTCGTGGGAATGAGTGGCGTTAGCTGAGTGTCGTGGGCCGAGTTTCCCCATGTCGGACATGAATTAGGTATGTTGGAGTGGAGTCTCGATAGATAGCATACAGACGACTGCTTCATCCAGACCTTAACTTGGGGAATGGCTTAACCGATCTAAGAAGGGCAACCAACATTAATAAAGGGATCCTTTCTCTTGCCAGCCTTCGCATTTTATTACTGGTTTTTTTTTTTTGGTTTAATAAAACACTTCCATTTCTTTCGCTTTTAGTATAATTGATTTTTTTATTACTTTTCATTGCTTTTGGAAACATTTTTTTGTAGTTTTTTTCATATTTTGTATATTTTTTTATTGTTGGGTTTGTATGTGACTTGATTATATAGTATGTAATTCCAAAGTCACTTAAGTTTTATAATAAAACCAAATATACTCGTATATATGAAGTGTAAAAATTGTTAAGAACTGTCTTTAGTGATATAAAAAGTGTTTGTTTTATTTAATTTTTTTTCGAAATAAACATTATTCAGGCTAAATAGTTATAAATTGTTGAATTACATTTTTTTTTTTTAAATAAATAATTCATTTTTTCGAAGTCGGAATTAAAGAATAAAAATAGAAAAACAATTCATTTGGACTACAATTGAAAAAAAAGAAAAAAAAAGCAATGCACAAGCAGCCTTCAGTACATTGCAGCTGTTTAGAATTAGATATAAAACTACTGCAGGGCATTTGCGTTGCTTCACGAATTTTAAATAAACAAAACTTAAATGGACGTGCACTGTTATTTGTTTTAAGAAATAATTTAAAACAATATTGCGATTTTCTCGCTGCCTTTGAATTGCAATGGTTAGTTTCGCTAAGCGATACAATTATTGCAACAAACTTATTTTTTTTTGCTGAGCAAAATTTGCTTTTTCCAGCTTTTTTGTATGTGTTACAAGTATATGTATCTATGTTTAGGTATTTGAAATACAGATTGAGCAAATATAATTTTTTTGGTTGGTTTTTAAGTATTTTATAATAATCATGTATGTATGTTTAATGCTTTCGTTATATAATTATGCTTGTTAGACTCGATTTTTTTTAGTTTTTATATTTTACATTTTTTTTTTGTTCATTTTCGAGATTTTTGTTTTCGCTTCAAAATCAATCGTTTCAGTTTCCTGGCTTGAGATCTAAATTTCACTCAAGCGCCTTGGTTTAGCACATTATTATCGAGCTTTAAGAGGAGTATTTAGTACATTTATATTTGCGAGTAATTCAATAATAAACTCGATCTCCAACTCTTTGTGGGCAATTTATTATTATAAAATTAAAAAAAAATAAAAATTAAATCAAAAAGTAATTCATTTTTCTCTGCAGCCATCTCGCGTGCTTTAAAATATATGTAGTTAAGACTTTATGGTTGCAACTTTTGAAAAACAAAATATAAAAAAAATTAAAAACATCGCTTTGATTTCATTAAAAAAAGTTTTCGCAAGGCGGCCGTTGAGAAACCCCTCAAAAGGGAACTTTATCTTCCATTTTATATTTAGAATCTAGTTTTCTGAATGAAAAAGAAAGCGTTACTTTTCGCATTTCTCATTGACTTTACAACAAAGTCACATTTCCAACAAAAAACTATAAAGTATATCACACAAATTTTCTCCTACTCTCCCGCTCGTTTTCACATTTTCAATTCATGGTGCTTAAAACCCGATTCTAGCACCACACTCTAGACCACAGTGGTCAGTATTGATTAAAAGCTTGCGCTCACAAGTCACCAATAACTGTTTTAGATAAAAATCAGTGTCGGTTCATCTCACTCTAGTTTGTTGATAAGTCTTGCAGTCGTGCAGCTGAATGCTGCCGGAAATATTATTGCATATATGCAAATACTAATGACCCGCACATTACTGCGCAATCGCCCCATCGCCGCCAGCACCTGCCACATCCGCAGCTATGTTTTCCGCCTTGTCACGCAATGTCACATCGCCATCTCCCACGCCATTCAACAGCGTACTATCATCGCTAGCACTGCTCTTCACCAGCTGTAGCACTTCATGGGCCACATTCTTTTCCTGATAGAAGAGGCGACAGATTTTCGGCTCTACTGTAGTCTTCAGAAACTCAACCTGGAATGTTTCGGAAAAACGCGAATCAATGAATTGAGCAAAAACCATGCATGCGTCCACATTGCCCGCAATGTTAACATCGAGCGCGCAGTGTTTGCTGAAGGGTTCGGTATGCAGTATATCCTCCGGCAGGGCACGGAATTGATCAGTCACTGAATTGTTACCAAAGTCCAGGTAATGTACTTCACATTTACCTTCATCAAGCACCTGTACGATCTCCGCTCGGTAGAATGCCATATCGTCGGGGAACTGTGCAGCACATAGCGCGCCTACTTGCAAATCAGTGAAGGGTTGGAAGTCAGTCTCTGCATCTAATAGCACATCTGTAATCTTCTCTACAGCTGATACATCTTCGGCCAGTTGTATGTAGAACGATGCAGGTGAGTTCACGTGTATTATGCTGCAGCTGTACAGCGTAGGCACCGGTGATAGTGCGGCCGCCGCCTCCTCTGCATCGCCTTTGGCCACAGCTTCGGCCAATTCCTCAGCCAGATCTTTGTAGTTCGCTTGCAATTTCACAGTATGTACACGCTCACTGGCGTCCGGAGCAGTTTCATCCGACTCTATTTCGTAAATTTCGCCAAAGTGAGCTTCCAAAAGTGCGGCAAAGCATTCATTTAGCAGCGTTTCAGGCGCCTCGGGTACCGCATTTAGTTTGCACTTCCATGCCAACGACGGCACGGCATACAAATCTTCTGGTATTTCGCGTATAAGTGTCGTATTTATGCTATTGCCGTAGTCGACCAGGAATATCTCGTAGCCGCCATCGCCGGCTAGAACTTTTTGCACTCTGCCGCGATAGTAGCAATCATCTTCAGCACAGTATGCGCTACAAACGCCGCCCACTTCAATACTTTCCAATTCAGCCAGCTGCTCAGCATCGGATTTCGTTAGTGTTTTAGTCACCAACTCCATATGTAGAGAATTGATTTTTGGCTGTATGTAGAAATGTGTTGGTGAAATTGCATGCGAAATTATACATGTGTTGTCTGCAATTTGTGGCGTTACCACCGCCGCCGTGGCATTAGCGCTAATGCTTGCAATAAGCACATGCAATCTTTCACCAAGATCTTCGTCACCGCTAGCTGTGTATAGTTTAACTTGTGCCGGTGTTGTAGGTTGCCTGCTCTCCACAAACTCAATTTTCACCACACCCTCACACTCTTCCACCAGCTGGCTGAATGCATCGATCGACACTTGCGCTTTATCTTCGCCGATTTCTTCCGCGACGCCGGCCAACTGACAGTGTCTGGCGAATTCCGGTAGTGCTTGTAAGTCGTGCGGCAGTATGCGCACATCATCTGTGATTGCTTCGTTACCAAAATCAACGAATATTACACGATACTGCTGCTTATTTCCGGATTCGGCGATGGTTTCCAATATACGCGCACGATAAAGCGTATTGTCTTCGCTATAAACAGTAGCACATAATTGTCCGACCTGCGGTGTCTTTAGCGCATCCATGCCAAGCGCATTCAAGCTGCTGGTCATATCATCAAGGCGTATTGCATCCTTACTGAATTGCACATAAAAATCAGTAGGCGAATTTGCGTGCGAAACCAATGCATCGTAGATTTTGCCGCTCTCGAATACCGAAGATTGTATGGTCGTGCTGAAGCTCATATTAAGCTCAAGCTCGGCAGGCTTCTGTTCACACAGCGGTTCAAGGTCGGCATTTATATTGTGACCATCGATCAGTAGATGTACTAAAGCATGTTCGGCAGCAGGTTCACGCAATTCCACAGTGAAAATTGTTTCGCCTTGCGCAGCTATCTCGCTGAATTTCTCTTCAGCCGCGTCGGACCAGGCCAAGCAATGCTCAGACAGCTGTAGTGCGCATTTCTTCGATAGTGGTGGCAAATTTGCAATTTCCTCTGAGATCTCACGGCATTCTAGACTTATGGATGTGTTACCATAATCAATGAACAGCACTTCATAGCCTTTATTTGGCACTTGCTTCAACAATTTAGCACGATACCACATTTCATCATCAGGGAAGAGTGCGGCAACTATTTTTGCATACTCGAATTTTCCTAGTTTTTTAAGCTTTTCATTTTCGGCCAAATAGATCTCGATCAGCTCAAGTGCCTTTGAGTCTTTTTCGTATTGTATATAAAAGTCGCTTATATTATTAACATGTGATATGTAACAGTTTTCACCGGAATCTACCAATTCCAAGTGTTTGGCGAAACCATCTTCGACTAAGCGATCTGCGATGTTTACTCCATCAATGTATAGATGTATAAAGCTGCGCTTATACGTATCGCCGCGTGTAATGTATTCGAAGTTCAGCAATTTGCTATACGAATCATTGAAAATGGCATTGGCTGCATCGACCCAGTCAGCGGTGCCGTTCGGCTTAATTGGCAATGAGCAAGGCATGCACAGTGGTTCGATATCAGGGAAGACGCTCATTTCTTTCACATCAGTTGTATCGGACACACAATCTGTATTGCCGAAGTCAATGAACTTCAATACCATCAGTTCAGCATCAAGGATCTTTGCGCGATACCACTGCTTGTCCACAGAGTACAACGAAATGCAATGCGCATTGTTTACAACACTCATCAGAGGCGGCAAAGAGCTTGCAACGATTTGCAAATTCTCCTGCAACTTGTGCAACTCATCCAACTTATCGTAGGGATGCACGAAGAACTGTCCAGGATTGTCACAGTGGCTTAATACAGCATGCTCCATATCAGCGTATGGATCCACCGATTCGGTTTCCGACTCTGCCACCGATTGTGGCTCGGATGTATTTGTTGTTGCAGGTGGTATAGGGGAAGGTGCTGGCGATGGCAATGCGGCTGCTACAGTATCATTTTCGGCTTTCTCTCCCTGTATTTCTGTCTGAGGAGGTGTTTGTGGTGGCGTTTCTGCCATGATAATGGGCGCCTCGACAGCGACGGTCTGCTTTTCTACTTCTTTAGCTCCAACTACCTCCACTTGTTTCGGTATCTTCTCCTTCTTGTTTGCCTGCAGTTCTGCCTTCTCATATTTTTCGTCTGTTTTCGCTTGCTTCTTCTTCTTTGGTGAAGATGAATTCTTACTCTTGCCTATAATTTTCTTCTCACTATCCTCTTCCTCTTCGATCGTCAAATCCACTAACTCAATGTATTCAAACATATTTGTGTTATCCTTTTCTAAATGCTTGCGCATGAAATCTAAATCACGTGACTTGATCAGCTGCATTTGTAGCAACGCATCAACCACATTGTCGCCATTAGGCAACGTGAGCTCAGCAATTAGGTGGTTATGTTGCACTTCTAAGGCCTTCACATTCAATACAGGTTCCCCCTCTAATGTTAGTTCCTTTAACTTTTCCGCAGCGGCAGCATCCGCATCGGCCGATACATTTGTTGTCTTCTTTGATTTTGAGCCTTTATGTTGTGCATCTGCGATCAAAGTACGCACTGGGAGATTTAATTCAATTGCAAATGCATTACAATTAATGAAGAATTTTTCTTCTAATCTTTTCAATTTCGTTTCATCTAACGTTTCCGCGTTTCCATAGTCTATGTAGCGTACCTCAACGGCGTCTTTGGTGCTTTGTGGTGTGATACGCGCGCGATACCAATTACCATCGCTGCCCAACGCCGCACAAATTTCTTCAGGCTCATATTCGGTTAATGGAGTACCTATGGAAAAGTATATGAATTAGAAATGTGTTAAAGAAAAAACTTTGAGAGCGATTTTCACTCACCGTTATTTTCATAATATTCATACATTTCGTTTAGCAACTCAGTCATCTTTTCTTCTGTGGCGATTGCATGCACAAATACACGGTACGCGTTTTCCACGTGCACAACACGCCCTTCGAAACGCTCCAACAAGATCGGCGGCTGACAAATGAACGTCGATACATCATTCTTCAACAGTGGCACAAGTGGGCGTAGGAGGATGCTTTAAAATTCAAAGCTTTTTAACTACTCCTTAGTAGTAGAAATGGCATAACTTACACTTTGTTGTCATTGACATCTTTGATGTTAACGACCCACGATTTCCCTTCATAGAATTGCTTAAATTTAAAGGCCACGTCTGGATTTGATTTTACATAACGCACATCGTCATATGAGCTGAGTAATTGCACATCATCGGGCAAACCCTCCACATGTATTTTGAAGTTGAGCATGTCCTTTACGTAAGTGATTTTTACACGTATCTGTTGTCCAGCTAACAAACTTATGCGTAAATCTAAAACCAGAAGAAAACATAATTTTATTGTAACTGAACAACAATGCTAATCGTTTCTACTAACCAGGCGCTACTTCGGTAATGATACCCTCCGACTTAAGTGTATCTTTTAATGAAACGCCATTTAATTTGACGTTGACGTAGTACATTTCCAGCTCTCGCTCGATGTATTCACAATTCAGCGTGGCACCTGCAGGCAAATACTTTTCCATGCGATCGATTATGTAGAGGTGGTCATAGTTTGAGACTATGCCGCTAAAGCTGCATAGATGCGCCATGACAGGAAAAGTAGAAAAACGCCTTTCCACTTGCCATATATCCTCGGAAGTAACGGTATACTGATTGCCAAAATCAACAAAGTGCACTTTGTATTTACGCAGCATCTGATTGCAAGCGAGTATGCGTGCGCGATATAGTAGATTTTCTTTGCGGTATCGTGCAATGACAAACGAGCCAACTTTTAATTGCAATTGTTGTAGGGATTTCTTCTTATAGAACTGCTGCATATCACGCATCAGACGTTCGAATTCAGGAAGACGTGATTTGAGATGCGTATAGAACTGATGTGGCGAAATCCACCAGCAAATGCTCACCTCTTCGCGAGATGGCGTGTCCAAATGCTGTACTGGGAATGGTTGATTTAGTGGCACGTATTCTTCTGGCAACTGAGTACTTAATGGTTCGCTAGCATTGCTGGCGACTTCGGAAGCGGCGTCGTTGGAACGCTGTGATGAAGTAGTGGTGGCGTTATTGGCAGTCTTGTTGCGCTGCTGTGAATAACCTTGAGGCGCATTCTGTGGCCGTTGTTGACGTGGTGGCGTTACTGGGGCCTGCTGTTCTTTTTTCTGGCGACTAAATAAACAAAAATAATATATAATTAATAATTTTAATGGCACAAAAATTCGCACATATGTACTTAAGAGCATACCGATTTTCGTTTTGGAATCGCGGTGGTATCTGATGACCGCCACCTCGAGGTTTGTGATTAAAGCTAGCCGCGCTGCTGGCTGCACTACCAACGCTACGGCGATCGCCACCACTGCTAGTATTGCTAATATTCAAGTTGTTTTGTTGTGTTTGTGCATTGCGTCCTTGCCGCTGTTGTGCCTGGCGTTTACCCTGTTTCAGTTCACTAGAACTCGAACGCGAATCTCGGTTATCCATGGAGCTGGCCGAACTCTGCTTATCCCACTCCACTGAAAGGGTTCCCTGAATACTACTGGGTGGAGCACTGCTTGCAGTGCTACCAACTCTGCTATTGAGATTACGTGGACTTGATTTTCGCACCTGCTGGAGCTGTTGAGCTTTCTGTTGCTGATGTTCGTCGCTTTGCATAGTCGAGTTGAGTATTTGCACCCCTTTTTTATTCAAATGCAGCGACGCTGCATCGTTTGAGGAAGCAATTGATGGAGTTTTATTTCCGTTTTCTTGTCCAGCAGCAACATATCTATTCTGGTGTCCATTATGGGGATGTATATTAAATTCTTCTTTCTCTAATGTTAAGTACTGTTCGAACGGCATGGACAACTTGTAAAGCTTCTTCATTACATTTAAGTCTTTAGTGCAAAGGTTCACTAAATGTACGCCATCGGGTTGTATGCGGAAGACCTTGACGGTGAACGAACGCCGTTGGCGATTCGACTCTTCCGCGAGCATTTCAAATTGATTGGTGGCTAAGTCTTTGTTTAGCTCATTATTTTCGAATCCTTTGAGGCAGCATTGTACCGCTTGTCGTGGCAGTTTCAAGTGTTTCTCAGCAATAGTGCTCAGCAAGTTTTTGGTGACTTTTTGTTCGTAGCCGAAATCGACATGTCGCACAATTATAGCCGTCGAATCCGCGCGCATTACTTCGGCACGATACCACTCGTTGTCATACTTCACGATACAGGGGGCGCCAAGGGCCAGGTGATTTGGTACAACTTGATTTTTATTATAATACAAATACATATCGTCCATGAGTTTCTCGAACTTCACGATGTTATCTACCTTTTGTACATAAAAATGCTTAGGTGAATCGATGTAACGAATCTCAACAATGTCGTTGTTGTTTAAATTTTCCGACTTCGGATACACCAAACGACACTTTTGAATCTCTTTCAGCACATCCAGTACATTGTTTTGCTGCTGCGTTACCAGTAAAAAAAAAAAAAACAGAATATTCGTCAAGTATGTAATAAAATTCTTACTCCCACTCACCTGTAAATATAACTCGCAGTACTGGACCAAGGGTGGACCCTCTAACGGCATAACTTTCAATTGGCAATTCTTATACATCATAAGATCTTTGAATGCCTTTTTTAAGCTCTCATCAATGGGTTCCAAATCTTTGTGTCCGGATAGTGTGAAGCGTATGGCAAATGCTTTCGCCTCAAGAAACTCGTCAGGTATTTCATACAAGTCCTTATATTTGACAAGTTCGGCATTGCCATAATCAATATATACAACTTTGCATGCAGTGGGTTGAACGCCAGTAATCAGTGCGCGATACAACTGGCCGTCCTCTGAGTAGCGTGCAATGCAAGCTGTGCCCAAAATTGGCTTATCAGAGAATTGCTTCAGCTGCACGCGTTCAATACGGTTCATCATTTCGGTTAAATTATCCTGTACCTTCGCCAATTGCACCGAAAACAAGCACGGCCCGTTTTCCACAAAGCTAACATAAACGTCGTAAGTTTTACCAACAGTTAGATTGTTGGTTTTAAAAGTGGCAGTGGTAGCACGACGCGGCGAAGTTTTTAACGATTGGTTACTACTATCTGAGCTAAGAGATATATCTAATGGCTGCTGCTGTGGTTGCGGACGCTGATACCGTGTTGTATATGTGGTGGCATATGGACCACCCGATATTGATGCGGCAGCGGGTTGTGGAAAGCCGTTATAGGAATTATGTTGTTGATAGTTGGAAGTAGCGTAGGGTACGTAAAGCGATCGCAAGTTACCGATTGTGTGAGGCATGCGTGGCTGTATAGGACGTTGTATATTCTAAAATCCAAGTGTTTTTATATATATTTTTTTAATTAAGAAATAATGATATTTACCATCATCAAATGTGGTGGCAAAGCCAAATGGGCGGGCTGTTGTTGTAGCTGAAATTGTTGCAAACGCGAAGTAAGCGAACGCCCGACAGCAGGATATACACCGCCGACAGGTGCTACATTATTGTTATGATTAATAGCATAATAATTGTTATTGTTAACATTGCTGGCGGCAGCAGCGTACATCTGCATAGTTTGCTTTTGCAGTTGTTGCTGTTGTTGAGCCGCAGCTAAGTGGTGCGATTTCTGTGGTTGTGGCGGTATGGCTGACTTTATGGGCTGTTGGGGCTTTTGTATTTGTTGCTTGACATATTTAGTAAAATTGTCACGTAGCAATTCGTTTGCGATTGGAGCACCTATTTTCTTTTGATGTATTAAAAACTCAGCAAAATTAAATTCCTTCCATTTCATAGTAATGAATTTATATTGCTTAAACTGCAAAAAATCAATCGACTATTAAATATATGTACATACAAGTAAATTTTGGAGTGCGCATGTGCAAATGCAATCGTAACTTACTTCAAATTCAATGGATATTTCTAGTGTCTGACGCATGATTATGCGGGAAATTTCTTCCAGCTCCGCTGGCTTGAAGTCTTTACAAATGCCCAGTAGGATGTAGGGAGCGCATATTGTGGGCATAGAGGACAAGGCATCCTGCTGCTCGGGGAAGAGGAGCTGAAAAGGATATAGTGTGTCATGTGCTGAAATACTGCTTTTTGGCTAGGTTGTCTTACAGCACTCACTCTCTACACGGTAAACCACACACAATCCAAACCATATGTACATGCATTTAATGCACACCCACTTTTTAAAAGAGGTTCTCAACTATGCAATTTATTTTATTTTTCCCATAAAAATAACATTTTTGCATATTTTTTTGCGTTTTGCTGACGCATCCACTTACCTCATAACTGGCTACCAGCGCCTTTCCGCCATAGTCGACAAACTCTACTTCAACTTTGACCAGCGGTTTCTGTCCTTGCCCAATGTTCGTTATAACATCCTGTATACGTACACGCACGAATTCAAAGTCGACGGGCGCTGAACCTTTGGTGCTCTTATAAAGGCACATGGTGCCAATATGTAATGGTACCAGTTGTCGCTGTACCGGCCACGTTGGGTCTATGGCTAGACATGTGTGCAACAATTGCTGGATTTTGTTGCGCACCCCTGCCATTGCGTCCGCATTCATTTGACCGTAGATGCGCAAATACGGACCAAATGCATCGACGTGTGTGATCTGTAGTCTTTTGGTGGAATCTGTGCCCATGGTCGAGGCGGCTGACTGAGTGGCCGCAGATGAAACAGAACTCATTGCGTCGTTATTTTAGTAAGTTTCGTCTTTAGTGTCCACTATTGGGGATATACAATGTCCAATGCGTTGTGTAATAATATTTGTATTAGTTTCGTTTCGTTAAGTTATTTATTCTTATGTCGTTTAATTATTTATTATAAAGTAGTCACAAAGTCCTTTCGCATTAGTAACAATGCGAAAACTTTTTATCAAATTTCTTTTTTCACATTTATTTATTGAAAAAAATAGATAATTCACTCGTTTTTGTTCAGCGTCTAATACGGCTTCTGAAAAAAGATAAAATGCATTACAAATTTATTTTGCAACCAGAAAATTATTATAGCAAATGAATCGCGGATACAACAAAGACTATAACACCTCAGCAACACCTTCACGTTTCATAAAATGCAGTAATTCTCTCGGGTTTCTAGTTGGGGAAAATTATAAAGTTATTGCATTTACACGAAAAAAAAAAAACGGAATCACAAAAATTGTACAGAAACCAGTCGAAAAATCGCTGCACTCGCACAATAGGTATGCAAACTCGGCGTTGGTGCGCAATGAAACCGTTATTCGTTACATACCCATGTTTTGACATCAGGGATGGAAAAGTAGGTACAACTTGCCTTTTTCCGACTTTTTCGAACCAAAAGATACATTCGGTACACTGAACTCAATTTAGGTACAAATAGACGATAGCCAAATAAATATGATTTAGCGGAAATATCTGTAATATGAATGTACTCTGGCGGGAATTTATTTAGCTTGCACCGATGGATAAGTCAAATTTTCAGTAAAGTTTTAGCTCAAGTTCGCCTGTCCACGAAGTACCATATAAGGTTATGTATAATGAGCCTGGTTTATAAAATAAACCCAAATTATTTATGTACGTAGTGCAATCTAGGCCAATTGGGGTATCTGCTCTTCAAGTGCCCACTTCTAAAGAGTTAGAAAGCAATTCAATGCATATATTCCAAGTGACCAATCAATTTACAGTCAGGATGGTCTATCTCTGTGCTGTTAACTGTTTGGGAGTCAGGGCCAACATTAAATGAAAAAATTGTGTAAACTACTGTAATTTTCTTAAATACTTTTTTAAGTAGTTTCACTTTCAGTATATTTTTGAATAATTATTTGGGTTAAATAAAATGAAAGAATGAATGATACATGAGGAGAACGCTTTAGGAACAATATAATGGATATGTTCGACAAATGTGAACGATGAATAAAACACGACACCAAGATCCTTTATTTATTAAATTGTTAACAATTCTCTGAAAATAAAAATAAAAATTAACACAATCGTGAGCACATTTCTATTGTCAAATTAGGTACAATTAGAAATTTCGTTTTTCCATCCCTGATTGGCATTTGCCGAGACTGTTAGGCGCCTGTCACACCATCAATACGGATCACGATCCTGGATCGTGCCGTGTATCATTGATGGATCGTGATAAATATCACAAGATTTCAAAATATTTTGATATCCATCCATATGGATCACGATCCAAATATCGCGATCTGTATTGATGGTGTGACAGGCGCCTT